GCTACCATGCCACTTTCTCCGATGGAAAAATCACTCACGTTGCACACCTCTAAGCTCCTGTAAGCTACCACACCACTTTCTAAAATGGAAAAGTCTAACGTCTCACGTTGCACACCTCTAAGGTCCAGTAAGCTACCACACCACTTTCTCAGATGGGAAAATCTAACATCTCATGTTGCACACCTCTAAACTCCCGTAAGCTACCACGCCACTTTCTTAGACGGAAAAATCTAATGACACTACCTTCAGCCAAACTTCAACAATATTACTATGCCGGCCCATCTTTAAGTCAGCTCGCCCGGTATATCTATTACACCTCCGGTGTCCTTTATTGTGGGCAGGCAGAATGAACGAAAAACATCGAGCCGACGAGTGACGAGTCACTCGGGACTTAATTCAAATCTTTGAACGGTTATTCTGTCGCGGTGCAAAATCCTTTGAACGTCACATTTTCCATCATTTTCCTCATTTTTGTTCCACCACCATGACGGCCTTTGTTACACCGTTCTTGGAGTCCTTTGCTTCGGCTGGTCTCTCTGTTCAGCTATGCATTCTTGTGGGTCTTGTTGTCGTTGTTAGAACCGCCAAGGAGATCCTGGAGAGTATCTATGTGTACTTCCTCCGTCCTGCCAAGGACCTCAAGAAGCTCGGAGAATGGGCCCTTGTCACTGGTGAGTATCCTACCGTACATACCATATACACTATGTAGACAAGAAGTCAACTCCCTGTTTTGCATCTTCTCTCTGGATATTTACTTTATTGGTTGTTCCATTGACTCTCACAAATCTTGATTCGATTCTGTATCTATTTTTCTTTCTTTCACCAAGGTGCCACGGATGGCATTGGCAAGGCCTATGTGTACGCATTAGCCAAGCGAGGAATCAGCGTTGTCATGGTCAGTCGCACAGAAAGCAAGCTCCAAGCATTGAAAGAGGAAATGGAAGAAAAGAAGTACGACGGAGTCTCCTTCAAGTACGTCGTCGTCGATTACTCCAACTTTGATGAAACAGTTCGCAACCACTTGTACAATGAGACCAAGGATTTGGATATTGGTGTTCTCGTCAACAATGTCGGCATGAGTTACCGTTATCCACGATACTTTCACGAACTCAAGTCGGAGGAGGTGGATCAGTTGACGGAATTGAACATTAGCAGCACCACCTGGATGACCAAACTCTACGTCG